GATCATCTGAAAAAAGGCATCAAAATATCAAATCTGGCAAGACTTCCATGCCTCCCTGACTTTGTCAGAAGCAGCTCGTCCGATGTTAGGACGATTTGAAGCCAACAAGTCGCTGAAACAACCGGAACAAGGTCAACGTCTTAGGTCCAAAGTTCAACCGGGCCAACTCTGTCATCCCATCTGCTATATATGTTCGAGCGGATGAGGAGTTTTTCCATCTACCCTGAATTAAAATTAACTCCATAGGAGTTTGCAAACGGTAAAGTCTAGTCGCTCCCCCCCTACGGAGGGAATATGGTCTGTATCCATATGCTTCAAGGCGAAAGAACTTGACCAATCTGGCAAACTCATCGCGGAACCTCTGTGCCGAGGTAGCCCACACAGCCGCTTTGCGGTCTTTATGCAGTTGCAAGAAAGTGGACACAAAATGGACTACCGTCATTTCTCGAATGACGACATGCTCACCCTGCCCTCGGCGGGAAGAAGACTTCGGCGCAGCAATGAAGATAACGACCTCTGAAGAAGAAACACGCAAATCACCAACCCGGAGGTTCACAAGCTCCCCCGTCCTTAAGAGGCCGAAATATCCAAGCATCAGAAGCATTCCCTTTTCTAGCTGTTGGGATTCAAGAGTTTTCCCTACAAGCGCCCATAGCAAATCATCACCCATCGGGGTGGCTTGCCAGCAACGCTCATTTCGGCGCCACAAGGAGAACAAATGCCAGCTGTAAGGAAGATGCCGCCGAAGAAAGGGCAGAAAGACTTGTAGGCCACAGATCAAATTTCCTGCAAAAGCTATGCTTTCCCCTTCCTCGTAGGAGTGCTCGAGGAAATCCCCAAGCTCGAGATCAAAAGCAACAACATTTTCATATTGGATCGAGCAAAAGTCCCACTGTTCCAACGCCTGGTGCACAGCTTCCCTATACTTTTTCAGCGTTGAAGCCTTCAGCCCGGTCTCATGCAACTTGAGGCCACATCTTGCTTTCTTTCTCTGAGCTTTGGTGCTGATGCGTCGCCTTCTAATCCTCATGAGCGTGAGGCAGCATCAGTAGGATTTTCAAAGCTGTCCACGTGGATGCCCATGAAGTACTGGTTTGTCACCAGCAACAGACTACCAATCTTGCGGATGAGGTGTAATAATGCCTTGCTTGAACTTCTACCCTTTGCAAGCACTGATATGCAAACCGCTGAATCGCTCAAATGGAGTAGCTTAACATTGAAGCCCCCAAGATGAGAAATTCTCCACTGGATGGTCAAAAGGATGCTCCTCAGTTCTAAAGCATTAATGTGCTCCTTTACTTCCCACCTTCTCTGGAAAGTGACCTTCCACAACCAGAACCCTGCTGGAACGCTTTGCCGGGGATAGAGTTTGGGATTTGTGGGCAGCCCTACGCTCACTCTGATGTCGCTGCCGTTGTGACTCACTCTCCGAGCCAACTGTCTCACTAGCCGATCTTCAGCATCGAGCACTTCCGACACTTCCAATGCCGAGCTGCCGAACGGTCGAGGGGTTCCGATAGGGGCCGTCAAAGAAACCTCCAAACACGCACCAGGGAACATGCCTAGCCTCTGCTTGTAATGCTCAGGTGTCCTCCTAGGAATCCAGCGGCGGACCGCTTCCGCAGCAAACAACCAGAAGGTATTAATGGGGTATGCATCCCCCACCAAGCTCATTCTCTCATCCTCGTACCCACTGGGGCTGCTCTTGGCAGCCGAAGCACTGTAGGCGGGGTACGTGTGATTGGTGCCGTATCCCATCAAAGTTTCCCTCTCGCGACTAGAAAGGTACCGTACTGCAGAACTGTCGGGGCGAAAAAGCATGTAACAGTCTTTATAGTGGTATGGTGGGAATCTGAATCGATCTTGGCGCCATCTAATGAGTTCATGTTCCTGACAACGATGGAACCCCACAGGTCGTGGGGGTGGCCGGTCGCGAACGATAGCTCGCATGCAGGTTGGATAAATGATCCCAGGGTTCCACTGCTCCCAGCCTTCGTCCACCCAACAGTCCCCCTCAACTGGTTGGCACTCAAAATGAACCTGCCAAAATCCCTCCTTCCATGTGGTCCAGATGGTGTCATCCTCTTCAATAACCAAATCTGTCCAAACGAACCGAGGCCGATTTAGGGGGACAATACGATCGCTGTCAACACGATAAGGGAATACACCAAGTTCCGACGAGATCTGATCGCGAGCGCTGCCATCCATTGAACACACATTTTCGGCAAAGAGGTGAACGGACAGGTTGCCACAAAGTCGTCGAACGTCTAGCCAGATCCTTTTGAGCTGGTAGAACAACGAGCTGTGAGAGCCAGACAAGTTCTGTCTTCCTGCCTTTGCTCCGCTGAGGTCCTTGCAGGGGAATCCTCCCCAAATGTGGATCTCCTCTATGTGGCCGGCTTTCGCAAGCCATTCGAGGATGACATCGTCTGTCACCTTTGTCACGTCTTCAAAGGTCAGAGCTTCGGGCCACCTTCTAGTCACCACTCGTCGCGCCGGGCGGTGTATCTCGATGCTCACATACATCTGGGGTCTGGCCCCAGCAATGTTGTAGCTCCTGATGGCGCCTCCTATACCGTCGAAGCACGATATGAGTAGCACCGGAACAACTTTGCCTTGCCTTGGCTCATCTGAATCATACAGCAGGAAGTCCTTCCCCAGTTCACTCACGGCAGTCGCCACGCCTACTGCCCCAGCCTGCATCGAAGCATCGCTCGCTGTCACCTGGGCAGACGGTTCGGCTTTCAGGTCCGTGTGAAGGAGACAGGCCCCTAGGCAAATGGAAAGGAGCTCCCACCGAGATTGCCACTCCTTCTTTTTGCTGCTCCTACTCAAAAATTCCCAAACTCCAGCAAAATGTGACATAGCTGCCCTCCTAAATTGACAAATGTGCATCCATCGTCCTAGGCAAATTTGAAGACTCTTCTTTCGGATATTGCCCTTGAAGCACAACCAAAGGCTCAATTTGAGGGTTCGGTTCAAGCGATCGGGGTCAGGTCCCAACCATCCCGTTTTTCCTTGGATGTAGCCACCGAGCTCGGTGGTCACATTTGCCCGACGCACGCTCTTCTTCGGCGCCGTCAGGACTCCTCGCTCATTCCAACCTCTTTCAGCCTCAAGGTGAAGCTCGCCTCCAGCGCTCTGGGCGACCTCTCTCTGCATCCTCTGACCTGACGCAAAGTTGTCAAGATAGATGTGCCAGAAGGGGGTTGAGCCAACTTCATCCTCCCTCATCTTTTTCGCGAAACCCTCTGGGAGGAGCTTTACACGGTTTATGCAGTGGGCATCAGGAAGTCCAACATCCCTCAAAAGCTGTTCAGCGGCCTCCTCCATGATTCCTACCGCAGAGCTCCACCCCATCGGCAAAACCCTAGCGCAAAGCGTGTAGGTGCCATCTGCATCAAAGCCTTCTCCTAGCTCTTTTCCTTTTAAATCTAAGTTGAAGGCCAACCGGGTCTGCCACACCTCTGGGAGTTCGAACAAGTAAAAGGCAGAAGTGATGTCAGCCTGACTGATCTCCAGGTGCTCATTGGGGCCTAGAAAAATGCTCGTCCATTGTGAGATGGAGGGAAGCCGATGAACCGAAGCCTGAATGACCTTGTGGAGGCTGTTGCTGGGGATAAGGTTCATAATTACTCGAAGTGTCTCCTTCCCCTTAACTGCTCGACCTGGCTTGACCACACCAAACAGACCATTCTTCACCGGGGATTGTCGAAATCGCAGCACCTCTTCCTCTCGTCGCCATACGCACACACCGCGCTCGACCAGGAGCTTAGCTACCTCACCCTTCTGCCCCGGTTGAATATGCACTCTTCCCTGAAGGCGGGGGACTTCTTGCCCGCAGTCCAGCACTTCTAGAAGCTCAGGGCTCTCAAGCAACCGTCGAGTCGAGGGGCTAACCCAGTCTACGATTCGGATACATCCTCCTTTCCCGATCGGCGGAAGCGACGGCTTGATTTGGTCAGCGGCTAGCTGTTCAACCTTTCCTATCTCTTCACCCCCATAGCCAATGTCTCTAGTGTTGAGGTCGTGTTTGATCGACCTGTAACCCCCAAGTTGCGATGTTCGTGGCCTCCTTCAAAATGTTCGCAACCCGTTGATGAATTGTTTTCAAACACTCCCAATGAACCTTCTTGGCTCGCCCAGGGCTGAAACCAACACCACCACCGTGTAAAAGTTGACAAAACTTAACCGAACACAGGCTCCAGGCATCCAAGTAGTCCTCATGTGTCCAAAAACTATCTCTAAAGCAATCCTCAATCACTGTTCCCCTCACCTTTCTGTCAAACCTACCCCAAACATGAGGGAACGGGAAAAGGCTCTTATCGCCCGGTAGTCGCCCACCAAGCTCACGCTGACCAAGCGCTGACATCTTTTGCCACAACCAGCCTTCACCAAGTGCGCTGCTCCGCCCTTCTAAGATCATCCAGGCGAAGCATAGGCCCAGGCTCCTCAGCTGCCCTTTCTCACACATCAGCTCTGCAACCTTCTCTCCTCTGCAGCCTCCAGCCGCAAGCAACTCCTCAAAGCCTCGAACCTCTGTACTCTGCGCCTCAGCCGCGGCTCCTCCTGTCTCCTCTGTCCTCAAAGCCTCTCTCTCATGCATCCACGCCGTCTCCTCTCGAGCAGCGCTCTCCTCATTCTCATCACGCATTCTCAGGTCACTAGTAGGGTCCCCTGTGGGTCCCGAAAAGGGCCTGGTTTGGGACCCACTGAAGTCTCCTCCATCCGTCTGGGACGGTCCAGGCATAGGTGCAGCCAACTCATCCTTCAGACCAACGGATTCCTGTATCATGCAACTGCCAAGCCCGATCTTCGTCGAACCTGTCTCCTCTGAATTCGCCTTTCTCACAAGCCTCAAGCATCGCCCTTCTCGCCGTCCGCCTCTGCCTTTCCTTTGCTCTTGGCTTTTCCTCCTTCTTTTCCCCCCCTTCTTCCATTTGCCTCCTCTGTCCTTTCCTTCCTTGCCCTCTCTCGCACCGTCTCTTGCACGCCACCAGCTCTTGCCTCCATCTTTTCCTCCTCCTCCGCTCTGCCAGCCTCTTCCTCCACTGTTCCTCCAAGCCCCTTTGCCTTCGACCCCGTGCGCTTTCGCAACCAAGTGACTGTGTCTCCGGGCCGCTAGCTGGAGCTCGGTCGGGGCTATGGACTGGTCTGAGGGAACTGCCACCTCGAGGTGTCGGGCGACATTCCAGCCATCTTGAATGGCTGCTTCGACCGCAATGAAGCGGCCGGCCAGAGCGTCCAGGCTCTCCAGGAGGTGGCCTGACCTTATCTTGTCGATTGCGGTGGCTAGCAAGAACAACTCGCGGAGGGCTGGATGTCCTGCAGGATGGCGTTGTCGGAGTGTCACCTGCCAATATGTCCCCACTCGAGGACCACTTGTCAAGAGCTCGTCCTGGGGGGTTGAGAGGTCCTGCAACTGCTCTGCAATCTGCTCCAACAGCAAGTTGATCACGCTGCCCTTCTTTCTCTGACTCCGCCTTTTGAGCGGAGCCTGAAGTCTTCTTGCCTTCTTCTCCTCGCTGCTCTCTTCGCCGTTGGAATAGTCGGAGCTCTCCTCGCTCCCATCCTCGCTCTCGTCGCCCGATCCTCCACTGCTTGAAGGCGAACCGTCTCCGCCGTCCCTTGCCTTCTTTTTCTTTTTCTTTCCTTTCTTTTTCTTCTTCTTGATGAGGGCTTCTTTCAACAGACTCAACAGCTTTCTTCCGGTTCCTTTCTTCTTTTTCTTCTTCTCTGACGAATCCTTCCGGCCTCCATCCGCCAGTGAAGCCGCTGCTATCAATGCCTTGCCTGGGGTCGAACTCTTCCTCAAGCTCGTAGAAGAGTCTTTTCGCTGCTCCGACCCTTCCTTCAACAAGTTCGAAACTTCTTTTGGGGCCCCACCTATTGCCACGGTCAAGCTCCTTGGTCCATCGGCCTTCTTCTTCTCTGCCTGAGCAACACTGTAGCCTTCTACCTTCTTCGACTCTCTCAAACCACTTGCACCCTCTGACTCGCCTCCTGATGTCTCCATGGACTCCCTCAACTTGGTCTTCAGAGCGTCGAGGGCCGATTCGATGGGACGACTGGTCCGGCTGGAGCCTCCGTCCCCTTTGCCTGACTCTTCTTCTCGCCTCCTCTTCTGTCCTCCTCTGTGAGCCTTCTCTCCTTCTGCCGCCTCTACCTCTGCGTCCTCTGCAAAAGACACTCGCCTCCTCTCCTTCTCTCGACCACGTGTAGGGCTTCGGGGGCTGGGACCTTTTCTCAATGCACCTTTCCGGGGTTGTTCTTCCTCGTCCTCTTCTCCGGGCTCCTCCTCCACGACCTGGCTCATGTCTACACCGCATATTTCCTGGCATAGTTGAAGCCACCTCTTGTGTCCGGTGCTCCCCAGCCAACTTGCGGCCTTGAACTCGGTTGCCAACCATAGCTCTAATGATGTACAGTGGCATAGATAGTTGCCTGCAACGCCGCATGGGGTTTCCAGACAAACGTGGAGCTCGGGCATCAACTTGTTCATATTGGTCACCTTGCGGGAGACTTTGGGGTCCTTTGTACCCAATGAAGTCACCTTCAACGTCAAGCTCCCGTCGGTCAGGACCTTGTGGCCAGTGATGAAGAAAGGGATCATCTCTGTCTTCTCCTCGACCTGAACAGGTGTAACCAGTAGTCGACCGGTGGTTGCACCCATCAATGGCCATCTTGCTCGGTCTTCTATTGAAAACCATCCTAAACTCTCATCCTCCTCTCTATCCACGTCTTCGACGGCGTCCATCTGGGGCGTCTCCTTCTCGGTCTCGTCTCTTCTCCTTTCTGCGTCGGGGCTGGTCCTCCTCGCCTCGCTCACCTTCTCGATCTCCTCGCTCAGACCTCTCTGAACCTCTGCTCCTTGTGGTGTCCTCAGCCTCACCTCTGCTCTGCCTACGAAGGCCTGCGGAGATCGAAGTCAGGCCAGCCTCTCTCTCCCTCGGTCCAGCCTGCTCCTCCTGGAAGTGCGCCTCGTCCCGCAAGATCTCAAGTCCACGTAGGGCGCACTCCAGCCAGGCTATCGCCAAACGCGCTTCCAGCCTGGAATGCGGCTGAAACCGCAGCTCTTGGGCCAGTTTCCTGACCGTCAGGCAGCCCCTGCAGCACCCCGACCCGTCGACGAAGTGGGTCGAGAGCAGGAGCTGCACCGCATCGGCGCCCCGACGCGGACGCCCCCCCCC